GCGAGCCTCTTATATATCTCCAATCACTTTTGCAGTTCCTAGTGCCGATAAGAACAAATAAAAAAAAGAAAAACAAAAGTCCCACTACATTGTGTTCGCATAATCGCACGGAGAGAGTTTTAAAAAATTAGAAGATATATAAACAATGAAATTCCAAAAGATGTATTACATCTTCTTATCCTGATATGCCCTACCATGAGCAAAGTTGGGAGGAGACCACTCTTCAACAACTAGTTGTGGAAATACATTCGGTTTTAAGATGGACGTCCCAAGGAGCATATTTACACATTCTTGGAATCCCTGTGTAACGGCTGGATATGCAGTGCGAAGTTCACTTAAATTGTGAACTGCTTCCTTATTATGAATTGCTAATGAAGCTAACTCGATAACACTACTTGCATGAGGTCCAATAGCTCGCACTCCAAGAACCTTCATCTCGAGGTCATTTGTAACAATTAACTTGACAAATCCCCTAATATTTCCCATAGCCACAGCTCTTGCCACAAATTCGTACCCATATCGAGCCATTTTATAGGCTATATTTTGTTTTCGACATTGCTGCTCGTTCAATCCAACGGCAGCAACTTCTTGATCCAAAAACATAATGGTCGATAAATTATCCAATTGTTGAACAAATTCACCTTCAGGATAAGGAACATATATGTGGTCAATGCATGTGCGTCCTTCTAGCTCCCCAACATTCACAAGGGCAACCCTTGTAGCTACATCTCCACAGGCATAAATGTGCTTATAAGGTGCTACACGATTAAATTGATCTCTCTCAAGTTTACCTCGCTTAAGCTCCACTCCAATTCTTTCCAAACCCAATCCAGTTAAATGGGGTTCCCTTCCAATAGAAACCAAAGCACTGTCCACAATGTGGGTCGTCAATGATTTGTCTATTACGTTCCTCAATGTGTAATGAAATTTTCCGTCCTCCACCTTATTACTCTCTAAAGCTGAATGATGATGAATATTCACTCCTTTACTTTCAAGTAGATTTTGGACAAACCTTGCCACATCATCATCTTCCATGGGTAGAATACGATTGCTTTTTTCAATTACATTCACTTTTGTCATGCCAAAGTTAGCAAATATAGATGCAAACTCACAACCAATCACACCCGCACCAATAATAACAATACTCTTTGGAAAACCTTTTCGCATGATATCATCTGAGGTAAAAACAACTTGACCATCTGCAATCACAGAAGCATGTTTCCGTGGTTGAGCTCCACAGGCAATAACAAAATAATCCGCCTCCACCCTCTCTGTTTCTCCAGAGGGAAGTTGAACTTCTACACATTGAGGGGAAACAAACGCGCCGTAGCCTTTAATAACGTCAATGTCAACAATCTTTAGTTGATGAAGTATTTGATTATATCGAAACTCAGCTGCATTTTTTATGGACTCCTGTATATTTGAGGCGTCAATAGGAGGAAGAGGCTTAAGGGGACGCATAAACCGATGTGCCGTTTGCCCAGTCATTAATCGGACGAATTTAGCCATTTCCCATAATGTCTTGGACTGTAACGCACCATTCCAAAGATCCGCTCCTCCAATTCGGTTTGCCTCGACAATACATGCCTTTTTATTATAGTCCACCGCCCGCAAGGCCGTCGCAACACCGGTGGGCCCACCCCCAATCACACATACATCTACTTTTTTTACCCACCTGAAGCAACTCTGACGCATCATTATTCTCGCTTTTTCTACACAACAAAAAGGAAAAAGAAAAACACAAATATATGGCAGTACTTCGTGTTTAACAATTTTTATTTCAACAATAAGACAACAGGCAAAACAAATTTTGAGAAAATTCACAAGTGCATATTGTTAACTTAGTTATGTTATTTATTTCATTTCCCATGCATGACGTTCTATTAGTGACTTCGTTTTTAATGAATCGACAATTGAAAGGAAGAATTAAGGTAACTTACCTATAGTCTCAGAAATTATAGCTAAAGGAAAAAAAATAGCATATAACTTTTAAGGTAGAGTAGATAATAACAAGAACAATAATATTTAAAAAAAGACCACTGTTTCTATTTTTTTCGGCTCTTCCTCTTCGAAACGGCGATCATAAAAAGAACAAAAAAGTACGCAGACAACGTTGGAAACGTCTTCTGCAAAAAGAAAGCAACAAACCATTGGGACCGTCTCACTCCCCAGTCCGACACCGCGTCAATCAGTACCGCACATCACAAAAAAAAATGCTGACAACCGCTCGTCCTGACACCGCCGCAGCCGACGACGCGCGGCGAAGTTCTTCTGCGACGACTGGGCTCCCACCGCGCGAGGAAGCGCGCGGGTTCCCTGTATGACAAGCATTCTCGTCCCGCAACTGTAGTGGGGGGTTTGGCGCCCCTTCATTACTATTATTATTATTTCACTCTCTTTGCTTCTGCCTCTTCCTTCATTTCTTTTTTGTTCTGTTTTCTTCTTCTTCTAATAAGCTTTACAATGAGTTTTACCCTGTCTACGACGCCTCGGTCCCGCCGAAGTCACCATACCCAAGTGGTTAAGGGGACTGACTAGAAATCAGTTGCGATCTCGCGCGCAGGTTCGAACCCTGCTGGTGACGACTTTTCCGCCAAAGCACTTTCGAACTTGCTAAAGCAAGACGGCGCGCGCGGCCCTGACAAAGAATGGGGTGAAAAAGAAAAGCCAACCGCCCTCGCGGGAAAAGGGGGCGCGCGGGGGTTTCTGCGTTCGTGCGGGTTGGCGGCGCGCGCTTCGAAGCGGGGGCGGATGCGCACGCGGTCGCCACCGTCGAATGCTGACGAAGTTGGGGAGGCGCACTGGTTCCGCGCTGCCCCCGCGTCGCCTCCACCAACGGCCCGGCGGACGAAGCGCCGCAGAGGCACGCGAGTTGGCGCGCTGGACGACGGCGCCGCGGACACACGCTGCGCCGATGAAGGGCTGCACGCGACTCATTTTCCAGGGCCGAGGCGTCCCCCGCCGCACTCGCTTTGCCGCGCCCGTGAGGAAGCGGAAGGCGTGCCCCCGGCAGCCAAAAATAGA